ATAAATAGGAGTTAGAGATAATTTAGGAGATAAATAGAAATTAGAGACAATTTAGGATGAAGTGGGGGAAAGTGGTGCCACTTGGCTAAACATTAGAAAAGCAAATCCCTCTTTCTTTATTATTGTTAGAAATAGTTAAGCATATGCGATTTCCTTATTGGTTTAATGGGTAATTATGTGGAATTAAAAAAAATAAGAAAAATAAAAAAAAAAACAGAAAATTAGAATGGGGGGTTTCCAGCAAGGAGAGCTATGCTGACATGGAAAGACTGATTTTAATATATAGACCCCGTACTAAGTACGGGGCAACTAATTTCAACTTTTTCAGATTTTTTGTTTGATTTTTTTTATTTGATTTAACAGATTTATCCACTTATTTTATTATTTGGCTACTTATGCTTATACATAGATTTGATTTTTTTTTTTAATTTAAAAATTAAATCAGGTTTAATTAGTATTGACAGCCTATTTCATCTAAAAGTTGGGACCCACACCTTGGTAATAACTCTTTTGTTTGAATTAGTAAATTGAATTAGAAAGATTAATATGGCCCCGAGTGGGTTGGGTATCAAGTCCAATGGAAGCATTAGTTTTTGGCCATTTTTGTCTTGCATGAACTTTCTAAATGGATATTAATTGTTATAAATTTATTAATTTTTGGAAATAAAACTTGTTAGTTATTATTTTTTATTAAAAATTAATGTTAAAAACTAATTAATACCTTTTATTATATTTTATTTTTTTATTAAATTTGCATTAATTAGTATTAACTTTATTATTAAGTTATTAACATAATTAATTATATTTAATTAACTTGTTATAATGGATTGCTATAATGGTGGTTTGTATTATAATGAGTTGTCATAGTCAGTTTTTTTTCTTTTAATCTTCGATATTTAAACATTATATAATAAGGATGCATGCATTATCCATATATTGGACGTGTACGGGAGGGAGAAGCCAAATAGAGAACAATGGGCAACTGAGCATTGGGTAAGCTAGCTATTTAATTCAGAACAATGGATGTCATCACGGCAGCAACTCAACTAGGGAAAACATATCATCCTAAAATTGAATTAAAATTTTAGAAAGAAAGCTCACCAAGCTATTCTTAGATTGGAAATGGGATTTGTGTTCTTAGACTCCATGTGGATGACAAATTTAATGAAACACAATATGTGTCTGACCAATTTAATTTGTTTGCATATCCAAAAAACTGAATATAATCCAACTATATATGGTGTTGTTTTGCAAGTCTTTTTAGAAAGATCTTTTAGCGGCCTATATGGTTAAAAGACATATTGAGCTTTTGGGGTTATATCTTTAATGATAAAGACCGTTTGATAAATAGTTCACTCTACTAGGCTTTTAAAAGCATATTTAGAGACTATCTATCATGCAGAAAGACCAAAAAACTTCATTTGAAGTTTCCCGAAATTCAGCATTTTTTGTCTTTTTGGGTCTTTCCGTGCATGCATCTTCTCATCTTTCCAGATTTTAATTTGGTTATCAAACAGAAAAATACCATTTTTTTGTCTTTCAAACTTGTCGAAGCCCATAAGACCACGTTGAAAGACTTGCCAAATGCCACCACCTATAGTGTCAATTTAAGGGGTCAAAGAAAACATCATAAGATACAACTATGAAGTAATAACAGTTAAACAACATAAATTCAAACTTAATCTATACCACTTTAAAAAGTACCAATAGCCCCTAAAAATTTTTGGAATTTTAGTTGGACAAATTTTGCTCCTTTGTATTAATGCTTTCATATTTGAATTTAAGGACAAATTTGATATTTTGTTGATTGTTTTAAATGAATTACTTAAATGAGTTGTAATTGAAATTTCATGGAGTGTTTAGTTGGATGTATTTATCTCTCTTTTAATTAATAATAAATTATAACTGTAATGAAGTGTTTTGCTAGATGTATCTCTCACTCTCTCTTAATTAATATTGAACAAAATCATTGTTATTTGGTCATCTTTAAAAGTAGGTTCAATTGTCACTATTTAATGATTTTAAAATGTGGATTTTGAGTGTGGTCAACAATTTTGACTATGGTTTTTGGGTTAGCTTTTTCCATTGGTTTGGAAGTATTTTCTACTTGATATCTAGATGTTTAAGAGGGTTTCATCTGAAATATCCATTTCAAATAGTCAAATTTTTTCTAAAAAAATCCATATAGGGTTTAAAAATTAATTTATAAGATTATGAGCATCTCAATATCAACAAAGAAAGAAAAATACATGGGTGCCTCAATTATTCAAGGCACAATTGATAAGAAGGCTTTGAACATCACAACTAAAATTAAGAAGAAAATTTAAAGTTGGAAATTGAAAATTGTTTTTAAAGATGAAAGAGTGATCATTATCAAATAATTTTTGAATGTGGTACTTCTATTTACAAGGCACCAACTAACCAGACAATAAGGTTTCTTGGATCAAATCCCACTTACACCTAGGTTGGGGATTATAGGTTTGGGGAAAGGGCCACCCCCAATGTGTAGCCCCATGGAGCAAAAAAAAATAGAAAAAAAAATGTAATTCCTATATTTCAAATGATGTTCAAATGAACATGCCCCCAAAAAGATTGATAAAATTCAAAGTCAATTCTTTTAAGGCCCAAGAGAAGGTAAGGGAGCAATTGTAAGACAAGTTAGAAAAGGCTTTACAAATTAATGACTTATTTTTGGGAAAATAACTAAAAAGCCCTAGAGTTTCTAGAAAATCAATAAGAAGTATTTTTCCCCTTTGTGTTAATGCTTTTGAATTTGAATTTGAAGGCAAATCAAGTATTTTGTTGATTATTTACAATGATATCAAAATAGAACAAATTGAGTCCATTATTAATTTCTTACTGAATTATATAATAGGATAAAAATGAAATTCTTTTATGCTTCTTAAATAACTACAACAACATGCCTTTTTTTATAACGCACAATGGGTCGGTCTAAATAGACATCTATAAATTACAAAACTTAATGAGTTGTAATTGAAATTACATGGAGTATTTAGCTGGACAAATTTAATTACTCTAGACACTTGGAGATACATGTTGATTTGTAGATGAATTAAAGTACTCCTCTCTCTCTATTATGAAGATATAAATTGTAAATTGAATACTATTTTTCATTTCATTCTATTCTCTCTCATTAAGTCTCATATTTAAGGTTAACTTATATTCTCTCATAAAATCATATGTTTAATATATTTTTTGTTTCTCATCATAAAATTTCACTAATAAATTTGCGAATAACAATTGTAATAGTATAAAAACCTATGTATTCAAAATCAACTTGGAAACAAAACCGATTTTTAGGTACGATAAATGAGAAGAACTTTTATGAATAATAGAAATGGAATACAAAATTTAAAACTTCCTTAGCAATGAAACCACTATCATGTTTGTTAAATGATGGAAATGTAATACAAAAAATTATAAAAAAAATAAAATTAATGTCTATTCCATCACCCTACTAAACAAATCGAATGATTCAATGGTTTGATTTGCTAGGTCACCATGTTGTTGGTCAAGTCGATGCTTTTTCTACAAATAAGCAATTTGGTAGAAATGAACATAAAATCCTGGTCATGTAACTATTCAATTAGTCTAATCGGTCTCTAGGCAAGTAATGGTTCAATTAGCACAATAAATTGAAAATATAGATATAAGCTATATATTAAGAAGATTTGATACAAGTCTTTAAGCTAAAAGGCAATAAATCACCAATATATATACAATTATTGTTGTTGTTGTTGTTATCATTTGAAATTGCCACGTGCAAAGCACATGCACATTTACTAGTATGATAAAAGGGAGCCCACATATTCTAATTAAACTCTAAGGTAGTGGAGATCGTCCTTGTAGTGATCAATGTGCCAAAAAGTAAGTATACATTGTACATAAATCACAACCAAATTGAGCAACCCCCATCAAAGGCGAACTCTTGATCCCACTTGATGCACCTTACAATCAAAAT